TGCAACATGTACTTAATGATAGAAAACTATTATAATTATGGATAATGTTATCAAACAGCTATTTATATTAAATTCAATCAGTCTCAAACACTTTATTTAAAATAAATTTATAATTATCTACTTATAATTAAATTTCCAATTATCTTTTTGTTATAATGTAAAATTTATTTATAAAAAGGAATTGATAAAACTGAAATTTTGATTTATATTGTCTCTGGCTTCAATTCTTCATACTTTACTGCAATATATCATAGATGGCATTATTTTTTATCTTGCTTTATTATATATGGGACAGTAGTTGTGGCATCATTTCTTTAAGGAAGTAAAATGAAGAGGCTATAGTTTCATTGCCATGTGCTTGTTTGCTTCACTTAAGGAATCTGGGTATGGGAGGCATGTTGATCTCTCAAATTCTTTGCACCTTTTTGGTCTTATATCAAAAACTTAAACAAAGGCAATCCATCACTGTCAAAATTACATGCTCATGGAGTTTTCTGACAAGTAGTTTGCCATTTTGGGCCAGCCTTTGAAGAATAAATTTATCTTTATCCAGAACAATAAATGTAAGCCATTTTAATTTTCATTTCCTTTGATTATTCTTATAACAAAACACTGTCCAAAAAGGATCAAAATAAGTGGCTTATTCTATACTACTTCTAATTACGATTATTAATAATAATACCAACACAAGAACCTGTTGTTATTAGGGCTCAATAAGAGCAAATAAATATGTGGATCAAATTCCTGGCAGTCCTAAAATATATGAATCGAAAAAAAAAAAAAATATCATACTCCTGAGGATTCTGACAACTTGTGTACATTTCTCACTATACAGTAATCACAAATGCATTTTTTTTTCTGATTGTGCAACACCTCATTTACAAAAACCTTATCTCTTGAAATCTCTGGTTGAGACTTGAAGTTTAATTCATGCTAAACAAAGCAAAGGCAACCAGGATCAACAATCACCTAATAGCAACAACAAAAATGAGGACAATAGTTTGAATGTAAATAATTATAATTAATTTAGAATTTAAAGTTGTTTCTAGCGATAAATGTATACTGTCCCAATATTTATTCCCTCTTTCTAATGTTATCAGCCGGTGAGTGTTATCAAAAAGGACCTGTCCAAAAGTGATTAAAATAAGTGGCTTCCTCTGTATTTAAAATATATTACATAAGTGAATCCCATTATTATTGGAAAACATTATCCACCACACTAAGTCTCTTGCTATTTATCATTGTCCTCATTTTTGTATTGCAACAATACTTATTTGCTCTTAGCCGGAGGAGGAGGAGGAACTCTTCAGCTTTGTAAATGTTTATATTCTGGACAAAATATACATCTATCTTATACAAGAACTTTTCTATAACTTCCAATATAAAACTAAAGATATTTTGCCCAAACTCACATGAGATCTGTTTAAATTTAGGTCTGACAATATAAGTGGTCTCAAACCGTCAGACATATCGAGAATTAAAAGGAAATTTTCTTAGAGGAGCAAATGATAGATATTCTTCCAGCCATTCCTTTTTGTCTGTTACCTCACTTCCAATGTTTCATTTCCTTTTCTAATAATTCTGAATAGGTTTTTTTCCCCCCCTTTCCTTTAACTTTCTGTTTTTCTTTCTTTCCTTTTATGCTTCTCTCCCTTTTCTGATCGTACTTTTTTTGCATTTTCCCTTTCCCCTGTTCATCTTTCATTTTATTTTGCTTCTTTCCGTTCATCCTGATCTTTTAACTTCCATTTAACTGTTCTTTCTTTCATTTTCCCTCTCATACAGCTCTCCCTTTCTTCCTCCCAGCCTCTCACTCAATCAACACTCTCTTCCTTTCACTCAGCCCTCCTTTAGTTACTATTTCCCATTCAGCTCTCTTTTTCTTCTTCCCACTCACTCAGTCAATCTTTCTTTTCTTTCTTCTCTCCCTTTTACCCAGTCTTCCTTTCTCTCTCTCTCTCTCTCACACTCAGTCTTCCTTTCTCTCTCTCTCTCTCTCTCACACTCAGTCTTCCTTTCTCTCTCTCACACTCAGTCCTCCCTTCCATCCTCCTCCCATTCAGTCCTCCCTCCCACCATTCAGTCCCTCTCTTTTCTGGCCTGTTTCCTTCAGTTCAGCTTTCATTCAAATTTACCAATTCTATTTTAGAAAACAATAGCTAAATTCAGTACCATTTGCCATTAAATCACGTACATGCTCTCCTTGTGCGGCAAGTCTTTTATAGATTTTTTTCAGAAGGGAATGAAAAGTAATTATCTCAGAAGACCACTTCTCATTATGTTGTCCATCTAATCATGTAGATTTGACAATTCAGTCATTACAACAGAAATGTTTAGATTTTAAAGCTACACTTCTCCAAACATAAAAATATGCAAAATCATAAAGATTAAATTAAACAATATTTTAATTTTCAGAAGATATCTAGAAGTGCCCTATTGTTTCATTTGAAAAAAAAAAAATCAAAAGGAGAAGGCTGTTGCCTATAAATTCATACAAACTTATTTTGATTTCATAATTTTACAGCCATTTTAGCCATTACAAAATTTTTCTAGTAAATCATGACGAAGAAATTAGAGAGCAAATTGATCAAAACATAAAAGATCAAATCCCAGTCATTTTCTGAACACTTGAGATTGCCATGTTTGATATTTTGTTTTTGCATACAATAGTTGCATTAGTAGTTATACTATCAGGATTTTTTTATTATTAGCATGAAACAAAGCATTGTCAGTTGTTATTAGTATTTACATTATCTTAATTTCAATTGCTTTTTGTTACAATTACTCAAACTATCTACAACTGAACTTATAAATATGAGGAAATGCCTAAAAACTTAAGAGGATGAAATGGTTAATGATTAAATTGAATCTCAAGACCAAAATCTGTCAGCCAGAGACATGGATTGATTATTTGTGGAAATAATCAAGGCATTCTGTAAAATACAAGAATAGAAATAAAGCCAAATGGTCAAGCTTTCTTGCATTGGGGCTGGGGATATCAGGATCATTTGTTCTGTAAAATTGCTGATGCCTGGGTTTTGTTCTTCCAATCCTAGTAAAGGTTGAGGTTGAGATAATGAACAGCTCTAACAAAAGCAAAACCATTTTTTTTAAACCCAACTGTAAACAGTAAATTAGAAAAACTTGCAATAAGCTGGTGAAAATAAAAGAATCTCAGTAAATATATATATATATATATATATATATATATGTGAAGAAAAATACAGAAAAAACAAACAAAAATCTTAATATGCAATTATGCTGTATTAATGTTAATATAAAGTCGACGGCGGACGTTTCGGTCTATTTAAGACCATCTTCATGGACATTTTCATTTAAACATAATTAACATTAGAACATATAAAAATTTAACACAAAAGTTGATGGACATAAGAGCACAACTAATCCAAACAGATAACTGTATAAGATCAGCGTTCCGTTTAAATATGATCACGTTGTCGTCACGTGGGCGATGTTGTGAAAACGTATTCGAAGATGATTTCCAAATATTAAAAAAGTCGATTGAACTATTTTATATAAACAGTTCAAGAAATCCCTTCCGCTGATATAGGAATACGTAGAGAATTTTGTTTTTTCTGTATTTTTCTTCATACTGTCGGATCTATATCCATATATTTGCTTACATATATATATATATATATATATATATATATATCTAAGCACCACTTCAAAGCCAATGAATTCATTGGAAGATTATCATAGATGGATCTTCATAATTCACTTTGAGTTTGTTGCATTCACTTTGGACTATTATCCTTGGAAAAGGTATTCCTACTGTTATGGTTTAAATAGTTAAGTACACTGAGCAGATAGCAGTCAGTTCTGAACAAGAAAAACTGAGTCCAAACTAGTTGGGCATACACATGCCATAAAGCATGAGAAATGCATTCTTTGTATCAAAACTTGGGTTTGACCATCCGATTGAACCTTCACCAGCTATACTGGATCCCACCTTGATGCTGAATAATGGAGGGGAAGGGGCCAAGGGAGTAGGTGTTACTCACCTAAGAAGCAAAAAAAGCCAATGGTGTTTATTTTTGGAATAAAGACAACAATCGTAGCATGGATTATGACAGACTTTGTATTCTATAATACTTTAAATACTTGACCCTTTTTGGATGGATAGCAAGACATATTGCAAACAAGACTGTTCATTTTTCAAGTTGCATTCCTCTTTTGAATAAAGACAACAAACAGTATGGATTATATTAAATGTAATATATTACATTTTGTATTCTATAGGAAATTAAATACACCACACTTCTGTGGATGTCTCAAAGTCTAATTTGTAATGATCAAGAATAGATAATTTTTTTTTAATGCCTGAGAATGAGTAAGTGACTGTAATTTCAGTAATTATAGCCAATAGAAAAGCAGCTAAAGAAATAATCTTTTATTCTTAGATGATTGGAAATGATTACAAAATGTAAATGGAAAAAAAAATGATACAAAAGATGTTGTGATTTTAAAATCACCATTATTATAATGCAAAAAAAAAGAATGAATTACTAGTATGAGAGTGATTATATTTTTAACAGCTGGACACACAATCTTATAAAGATGTTTCATTGATGATAAGAAGTGAAGAAGACAAACAAAGACGGGCAATTTGCTCAAAGCAATAAAAACACTTAACATTGAAGGGTACAACTTAGCAAATTTATCTAAAGACATTCCCAAGCTGACGGGAGTTTGAAACCAAATGGTACATTTGTGGCAAAGAAATGGAAACAAGAATTAAATTCATAACCGATAATAAATTCTAATAAATAATAGATTAATAATTGTACTTCCCTGGTGAAGACATTATTTATCTTCCAGAAATAAATCCTACAGGATGAAGGTTACCTTTCATTTTATATTTATTCTTTTTACTAGTCAAAATTGGAATGCATTCAGCATTGGGAAATATAGTAATTTCCTTAGTAATTAAATTTGTAATTTATTAAGAATAAAAATAAAGCTGATTGCGCACTTACCTTATGTACAGAAGCAGACTTGGCAACATTACGTACCAATCGAAATAGAGAGGACGAGGAAGCCATCACAGGTGAGATAGCATATATTACAGCTGTGAACTTGGCCGATGGCTGACGGCCTAATTTTTTATAATAGAACGGATATGTAATGGCAGCATCAGAGTATTCAGGCATGATGAAATGAGCACCAGGCATGGTATTCCAGAGCATTTGGTTTCGGGCCATGTGGCTATAAATCCGATCTTTCAGAATCTACAATAAAAGCAAAAACAAAAGAATGTGAGCTTAAGATTAGCAACACCATTGGAAACTGTAATGACTTCAAGAAAGTCTGAAACAAATGTCGGTAATCAATCTTACATTAAGATAGTATAATTGGTATGGTTAATGTTTTACTAATACATTTTACTATTTATTCACATAATTTACTCATAAGATGGGAATAGACAGAGATATGAAGAAAATCAGTTATGCTTTCTCATTTGTTAATATCTAATAGATGTTTAAAGACAAATTATCTTTCATGTTTAGAAACTGATGTGCAATATTCTATATGTACATATGCATGTAAGATGAGATTTTTTGTGCATTATCTAAAAAGTAATAATAATCATTCTTTCAAAAGTTTTCAATAAACTCCATTCCTAATAACGGATGAAAAAACACAAACAAATTAAAACAGACATTTATTATTCTTATATTGTTGTTATCTTATTTTTTTAAGGAAAGAATTTATATAATGAATTGTGTGACATTTTTGGTTTCTTTAATTCTCTTAAACAGAAGACCAATCTATCGAGTAATATTTAGCAACCTGGTCACACTATGAAGTAATAAAAAAAAAATCTGTTAGAACACAAGGCATGGTTGGTGAATGAATATAAATGTGACCAGAATACAGAATTTAAAAAAAAAAAGAAAAAAAAAAAAGAAGCCGCAGCCTGGCACACTTCCCAAAATATAAACAAGCAATTATAATTTGGTGGGGTGGGGAGAGAGAGAGCGAAGAGGCCTCATTGTTTAGACTGTGAACTTCTCAGCACTCTCCATACATAAAGGTTTTATTAATGACCACAGTCAAGGTTTGTTTTGATAAGTTTTTAATGATTTTTTTTCTCATTTTCATCCAAGGCAACATGTTTTTCTTATGCATTATTGTTTGCCCAATACAAGGCCTAAGTGCCACTCAATCTAGAGTAGTTTTTGACTAATAAAACTTAAGCTTGTCTTGTTTTACTCTTCTGAAAAAAAAAGAAAAGCCATTATCCAGGTTTATGCATCATGAACAATTATCTCTTTAACCAAAGAATCAGCACATTGAATCAGTGGCCCATTCCAAAATGAAGCTTTTCATCAAAATGCTGAAAAGATATTTTGACTGGACTGATTGTGGTGCTTCAGTTTTGAGCCAATGTTTTCATCATCAAATTCATTCCTGGCCCAAGAGAAAGTCTTTCATGATATAATTTATGGGATAATCAGGAACAGAGTTAAACAACTTAGGATTGATAAGAAATTGTTTCAGAGTTGACAACAATTATATTTTGACTCAGAAATAACAACCAAGGTTCGGTAGACTTGTTTTAAAAATGGTTTCTCTTGTCCAAGAAGAGTTCCATCCGTTACCGTTTGATTGAATTCAGTGTTAAATTTTAAAGCTTCACCAAATACATTTTCTCTAAAGAAAGCAAATGAGTTAAAACTAAATCATGGTAGACTTGAACATTTTTTTTTAGAATAGAGCAATTATTTGGAAAATGATTTTCTTCCACACTCAATAGAAGCAATTTTGTAATGAGAGAAATATAATGCTTTTAAACACTTTTTTCAGACAACCAAATTTTTCATAACAAAATTTCCTTTTTAATTTGACTGGTGTTTAGTAAAATAATTTCAGACTGCTTCCAGATGAGGAATTTCTTTTTAGCAGGGAATTGGTTTCAAGTAAAGGAAAATATTTATAAACGCTTGGCCACAATTGTCTATGTTTTCATTCAATATTTTCAATAATTTGTTTAAAATAGGAAAACATATTCTTAACATGAGCCTGACTTTGACCAAATAAAGAGAGATTTACTTTTTGTAGATTTCACAATGTTTAAAAATCTGACAGAACCATTGCACAAAAAGAAAAAAAAAACTCTGAGTTGCTATTTTCTTCAGTAAACAAACATTTTGCTTGACCGTCACGTAGATTGTGTGATTATTGTTTTAAATACTTGATGATGATTTCAATGTCTACGGTGAAAGCAAAAAAGAAATTAGTTGAAATAGCTAACAAATCTGGTATTTGAGATTGTTTCATTTATAGAATTTGTCATTGGACATTTTTCAGTAATTTGAGGGAACCACTCATACTTCTTTCCATATTTTTGTCTAAAAAAGAAAATAAATTGACTATAGAATAGGCTGCACTAGCAGTAGTTTTACTACAAAACTAAAAGATTAACTTGAAAACTTGAGTCATGTTTTTAAATCAGTTTGATATTTTCATATGGATGGCATGCAAGACACTAAACCCATTCAAAAATATTTGAATTGTCAGTTGTATACAACCACTTTCTAAAAAACAATGGCTAAAAATGGCTTTGAATGAGTGAAGCTTATGGGTCTTGGCAAAGACCACATTTCTTCAAACCTTGTGGATTGATGCTACAGAATCACAAGCAAAGAACCAGATAAAAGCCACCACATCACTTAAGAACTTTCAACAGCAGCAACAACTAAAATGGATATCACATGTGACCCAAAGAGAAAATAATGACAATCAAAATGTTGACATTCCAACACTACTTCAAATAAAAGGTTAGGAAGGAACCCCCCCCACACACACACACACCACATCATTACTGGAAAGAGTGATAACAGCTACTGGACTTAAGAAACCAATTTCCCAGAAAAAAAGAGAATGATTTTATAAATTTCAAAAGAAAGTAGTACAAGCTACTTGGTCAATTAATGCCAAATTTCTTTCTTATCAGTAAACAACTAATATTACCATTAATTGTCAAAATTAGTAGTGCCAGGAAGGGATGTAGACAAATATCAGATTTATCTACTTTTTTTTTTTTTACATTCTAATCAGCAAACATGTGCAGTATCCCAGTCATAGAATTTGTTGTTGAAGCCAAGGACTTCATTTAAATGCTTTTGGACACCAATATTGAAATACTACCCATCAGTTCTTTCATAGGCAAGCTGTAAAGTAAGGTATTACTTTCTTCAATTCATTAAGAATGGAGTGTGACAATATAATGGCATCATACTTTCTCAAAGGATGGTTTTCAACAAAGGTTTTTACCATTTCATTAGGAGCAGCATTTTGGGGAAAATTGCAGCTGTTTTGTTTGTAAAATGTAATTTGTAGATATTTTCTATTTCATTCAAGGATTTTAACATTTTCTTTTCCAATAAATAAAAGCAAAGACAAATAGAAAAAAAATCTCAAAGATAAAATTATCTGTAATACAAATTCTGTTTTTTGCTGCTCTCAATTCAGCCATCAAAAGGTCAAAGATCATCCATTGTATGGAAACACAGTAGTGCACAGATAATTTGACCAAGATTAATTCCCCATGTATAATACGCCTTCATCCATAATACACACACCTAAAATTGTGCTGAAAGTGTGAGAAAATGCTTCTACTTATGCATAATGTCCACCCCTTGTTTGGTAATGAAACACTATAACTTGTACCTCTCCAGTTTCCTACTCTTATTTAAAAAATGGTTTTAAACATAGAATAATATTATTCTAATTAAGTTTTATGATAATTCTTATTTTATTTTACAGAAAATTTTAAAGATTTTTTTCTAGCTGTGCATAATAAACACCCCTGATTTTGCTTATTACTTTAAAAAAAAAAAAATGCGTATTATACATGGGGAATTATGGTATATTTTGTTAACAGATTCCTTAGCAAATAACAAGCAGCAAAAAATATTGCCGTTATTCTGTCTTTCTCAGCTTCATATTTTGATTTCTATGCTAAAGCTGACACACAAAATTGGCATTCTAAAATGTGGAATTTCAAATGAGTTAAAATTTTACCACTTGAAAAGTTAGCCCTGGATTAAAGTGTTGTTTTGTGAATTTGATCATAAAGTAATTGTAACTCCATACTTAGACTCAGTGGAAACAGTATGAGCAATAACTGAGCTATACTAAATAAGATAATAACTGAGCTATACTAAATAAGATAATAACTGAGCTATACTAAATAAGATAATAACTGAGCTATACTAAATAAGAACAATGCAAGATATTACTAGACTTGGACAGTGGAAGCAGAACAATCATTCCCCCATAGATTAAATAAACGGTTTAGTTCAAAATTCCCTGAAGGTTACTTGGATTGACAAGCAGCTGGATGCATGTATAACAGTCTAAATGTTGTTATAGCAACCACAACAAAGATGGGGACAATAGTCCTAGTGCAAATAATGATAACTCCTCATCCCAGATATTCAAATAGAAATGTAAATTAATTCTACGCTTATTAACTCCCTTGGATCTCATTTTAAAATATTAAAGTAACTACCACCAAGATAAACAGTGTATGTACATTGCATTATAAAAAAGCTAAAAGAACAGACACGCAAGTATATAATTTGTTATTTAACAGATCATTATTTGATTCCTTAGCAAATAACAAGAAAGAAGATATTATGAACAGATTTTTTTAAAAAATTCTTTTATTACAAGAAAAAAATCTATGATGTGAAAGAAGATGTATGACGTTTGGCTGTTTGGTTTCCTTCCGATAACAAAACAACATGTTTATTTTGAACAGGAAGTGTCTGGTGTGATAAATAGTCGAGCACAAGAAACAACAAAAATAGTTTGAAATCTGTCAAAAAAAAATGATGAACAACTATTTGGATCTGCAGTTACTTAGAAATACAAATGAATTAATGGACTAAACTTGTACTGCCATTGTATTATTGTTTGATTTTTTTTTTTAAAAGTATTAAATCTTCAGTTATTCCAAGATGAGTATGAAGATAAACAGAGAATATTTCAATTTACTACTAAAGCAAACACGTTTCATTCTAAACATTTTCAAAAGAATATCATGTGAAGCTATAATTCCAACAAAAATCAAAATTTTGCCAGAATCTTCATAAAAAAAAAAAGAATGTAGAAATTGATGGAAAAGAGTAAAACTGCCTTTTATTAAAAAAGCTTTCAGTTTTACATTCCCAAAGTTAAAGAATACTTTCCATTGTATGCAAAAAAAAAAGATCAGGAG